GGGGGGGGGTTCCTCAGTCTGCCCCCCGTCTGCTCTGGGGGGCACCATGGCCGGTGGGGTGAAGGGCTGCGGTTCGGGGAAAAGGCCCTCCACCACCCGGTTGAGGAGATCCAGCTCCAGTGAGTCCATGGGAGATGCGCCGTACATTTTGTTGCGCACAACTTTGTACGGCCTCCCCCATGGGTCCGCGTCCAGGGTGGCCAAGAACTCCTCTTTCGCACGAACTCTTCTTTCGAGTCCTTGGCCCGTCCTATTGCGACCTTCAGGGCCTGCCTCGCACCCTGAAGGGCGCTGTGGAGCCTTCTCTCCTCACTTGGGGTGTGGCGCCTGCGGCGGCATCGGCCGTAGGCCCGCCGGGCCGTAGTACTGGCGGTGCGGAGGTCCCCAATCTCCGCGGTCCACCAGTACACACTCTTTTTGCCCGGGGTCCCTCTGACCCTGGGCATGGCCCGCTCGCAGACGGCGGTCAAGTCTTCCCTGAACTTGACCGCCCTCTGCTCCACGTCGACGGTGGCCGGTAGGGGGGGGCACCACGCCTGGACCATGGCTGCTTCCTCTGCGAGCTCAAGGTCCAGGCGGGTGAGTGCCCATTTGGGAAAGCCCCTCCCGGGGGCCGTGTTGGAGGCCGTCGTGGGCGGCGTATGGGAGACCCTCATCCGTATATATTTGTGATCGGAGAGGGTCTCCTCGTCCTCCAGGACCTGCCAGCCGGATACTCGCGCGGCTAATGAGGGGGTCGCAAAGGTGATGTCCACGATTGACCCCCCATTTCGCCGCACGCACGTGTTGGCATGGCCTCGGTTGAGGACGACCAGCCCTAAGGCTGCCGCCCAATCCTCCAACTCTGGCCCTCTGGCATTGGTGACCGGAGAACCCCACGCAGCGCTCTTGGCGTTGAGGTCCCCCAACACCAACACCGGTGTCGGAGCTGCCCTCCTCACCGCCCTCTCTAGGGTCCCCAGGAATGCCTGGAATTGGGCCAGGGAGCGGTTTGGAGAGAAGTACACCCCAATTAGGATGACTTCTCATCCACCTAGCCGCCACGAACCCTGACCCGCGTTCCTTCACCACTAGAGGGGGGGAGTTTCCGGCAGTCGACGCCACTATGGCCACCGTCTCCTCCTGATCCCCCGCCCAATTCCCCCGCGGGGGGACAAAGTATGGCTCCGCCACAGCAGCCACCGCGACCCCCCACTCCGCCATGGCCTGGACCAATAGGTCCTGTGCCCTTGCGCAGTGGTTGAGGTTGCCCTGCAGTATAATATGGTGGCGTGCTGGCATTACTGCTCCATACTTTGTCCTTCAATAGGAGGGGGGCCTGAGGTCCCCGCCGGCTTGCCCTTGGTGGGAGGGGGAGCGCAAGATCGCCCCCCCATTATGTGGTCCGCTGGACGGCGAGTCGCGGTGCATACCGAGCACCGAGGGGTTGCCGTGCACCCGGAGGCCGAGTGTCCCACCTGGCCACACCTGAAGCAGACCCCGCTCCTATCCACACTGGACGGGCAGAGGGCTCTGGTGTGGCCAATCCCCATGCACCTGAAGCAGCGCATGGGGAGGGGCTCCATCACATGGACCACGGCGGAGGACCACCCCACCAACATGCGGCCGGCAGCCGCCACCCGTTGGTCTGCCGTCACCGGGCAGCGGACGATGGCTGACCCCCTCCCGTTGGGGGCCAGCCTGACTGCTCCCACGCTCACGGCGGACTGGGGGCATTGGCCTTTCGCGGCCACCACCGCCTGGATCTTCTCCGGGGTCACCGACTCGTCAAAGCCGGTGACCCTTAGATCGGCGGTTTTGGTAGGCCGTGTTACTGTCGCCAGCCCCCCGATCACCTCCTCCAGCTTGGCCGCCAGGGTGTCGGCCTTCTCGGCGCTTGTCGCCCCGGGCACCTCAACTATGCGGGCACCTGTCTGGGTGTTCCGCACCCGCACGTGCGGGATGCCGAGGCTGCCCAAATCGACCGCAGCGGTCGCCGCCTCTAGGACCCCCTTGTAAGTGGCCCCCTTTTCCGCCACCGCTTCGGGCCTCAGCGTGATCACCACCGCCGATGATTTCGGGGTGGCGAGAGCCCTGGGTCTGGGAGCCGTCTTAAGGGCCGCCTTGGCGGGGGCCCGTGCCGCTTGGGGGGCGGCAGCTGCCGTTTTGGCCTTTCTGGCCTTGCGGCCGACTACCTGTGACCAAGGCGTTTCCGCCTGGTCAGTCAGGGAAGGGCCCGTTGTCAACTTGGAGGCCTCGGCGGAGGGAAGCAACTTCGGGGCGGCTGCGGCGACGGCGATGGCGGCAGGCGTCGCCTCGGGGGCGGGTGCCCCTGTTCTGCCGCCCAGAGGGGGGCGTAGGTACTCCGCGGGGAGGCGTCTTTCGATGTCCCCCAGGCGGGCGTCCATCATATTCCTCATCGAGGAAAAGATGTCCCGCCTGAGATCGTCGATGGCCTCCCTCACTCCCGCGTGCATCTCCGCGGAGCTACACGGCGGTGGGGCCACCTGTGCCTTGGCCTTGGCCATGGCAGAGGAGTAGGCCCCCCTCAGGGCCTTCATCTCCGTCTCCAGGGCAGCGAGCTGCCCCCTCATCCGGCGGTTGTCTTCCGACATCCGCCGCGCCGCCTCCGTCGCCGTCTCTCCACGGTGAAGGAAATCGACGGCTCCTTCCACCTTTCTGACGGCCTCTTTTATGGCTTTGACCACCGTCCCCTTGAGGTTAGAGGACTTGGCGGTCTCCGCCAATATTGCTGCGAGGCCGTCTCGTGCCTCCTGGGCCAGGGTCTCTCGCATGAGGCCCGCCGTGCCATCGGGTTCAGCCTCCCCGGCCTGATCCCGGCCCAGGGCCTCCTTGAAGAAGGCGGCGTCCGCTTCCTTCTGGAGGGCGTTCCACTCTGACGAGCTGGAGCGCCCCCTCCCTGCCGTCGCCGCACCGGGGAAGGGCTTCCCGGGGCCTCTAGTTCTGCCCCTACGGGCCGTGTTAATCTTTGGAGCCCTTTCGGGCTCCATACATTCGTTCGACGGGGGTGCGGCGCGCTTGGGGGCCCTTGAGGATTCCTCCTCCCTGGCCGACCCGGAGCGCGACACCGCGCGCGAATTCCCCTCCGAGAGGGTGGATTCTACGTCTGAGGAGGCCGAGACCATCCTCTCACCCTCCGACTCACAGTCGGAGAGAATCATCACCTCCATATTGGAGGCCTTCGAACCATTATTTCTTAGTGCCCTATTGCTTGCTAAATCGGAGTCCATTGATCGTGTGCGCATGTTGTGTTCACGAGAGTCGGCTTCCGGCCGACTCACGAGGCAGTTTTTGCCCCCCCAGAGTACGAGGGGCTGCCACCCGCCGAAGCGGGTGGGCGGGATTCCCCCTTTCGGGGACCCGCCTGGGGACTATTTTCAAAACTAGCCTTTTCCATGTCGATTTTTGCTTTGAAAGGGGGGTGAGCTCCCCACTGGAGCGCCCTAACGACTGGATACCCTCCAGCCATTCATCCCATCGCCGGGCGCTAGAGCTTAGGATTTGGGGTAATTTTTATAGAGGTTTTCTTCCTCGCGGCCCTCCTCTCAATGAGGAGGACCCCCGGTCCCGCTCAATGTAGGATTACGGGTTGGCCGGAGCCGGTCTGGGGACCGGACACCGCCCACCGGCTCGGTTGCGGGTTGGATAGCGCCGGACAGAACCTGTGCTATCTTCCCTCCCTCCCTGCTGGTTTTGGTCCGCGCCGGCCGAAGCCGGTAGCTCCCATATCTGGGAGCCGTTCCCCTATCCGCCACCTGGGGACGCGTCCGATGGCAGACCAGCAACTGCACACGGAAATCCCCTTACACCTGCCTGATCTAGTTTTTTCAATAATAGTGGGACCGATACAGTATCAAATGCCTTTGCCAGGTCTAAGAAAATGGCAAGGCATTTGTTACCAGTGTCCAGATTCCTTTGAATATATTCTGTTAACTCATGGACTGCATCATCAGTAGCCTTACCACTTCTAAAACCATACTGAGTGTGTACTAAAAAGCCTGACTTTTCTAAATAGTTCACTAGTCTAATATTAATATTCTCGCCCGCGCCGCATACGAGTCAACACTGTGTCTCAACGTCGTACTTATTTATTTTGGTTATTTAGTGTAAAAGTAAATCTTTAGTATCAAATTTTATATCAAATTGAAGGGAAGAATAAGTGCTATAGTGTGTTCTAAACAGTTTTTCAATTGGACTAAACACCTAGGAGTGGTGGCGAAATATATTTTCAAAAAAATCAAATCACCAGTGCGGACGATCGCCGACCTACCGCCAATTCGACATCGCGAACGCCGAAACCGGTCACTGCCGTGACGTGCTGCCAGAGGGTCATTGACCGTCATTGACCATTGAGTGCACCGACTAGCTGCCGGACAAGTTTACGCCAGTCCACGCGCTACAAGCTACGCGCGAAAATACGTCACGCCGGTTTGCTACGCATCGTCTATTTAAGCCGCTACGAGTCTCCGCTCGCCGTCGCCGCATTACTACGCTTCGCACAAGTTCACAACATTTTATAAATGACTACTATATCGTGGGGCTGCTGCGCTGGTGGCAGTGTCGATGATCAATTTACTAAATGCAGTAATTGCGGCAAGGCATATCACTTTGTGTGCTTGCTGCTTCCCAATAAAACTGTGCAAAACGACTGGATCTGTCCACTATGCAAGAGTATAGTCCCAAAACCCGTCAAAAACGACAACACTCCAACACGAAACGTGACTACTACCAGGGGAAATAAAAAACCTATCAGCGACTCCTCGCCTCCTGAGGTAAATCCGAAACCGACCTATACTATAGATGATGTACGTAATATTGTGCGGGATGTTGTGGTGTCACAGTTTAATTTAATGGTCACCACTCTTAATGATAACATTATGGATGCGCTTTGTAGAGAGTTGAAGCCATTAAAAGAGGAAATTTCAGAAATTGTGGCTTCCCTGGGTTTCTTAAACGGACAGTATGAGGATCTCATTAAGGAGAATAGGGTCGTGAAGCAGGAATTATCTGAGTTGAAACAGAAAGTGGAACTCCTATCATCGACTCACGATAATCGAATAAAGCTTCTCGAAAATACAGTTGAGGAGCAGTCACGACAACTCATCGGGAACATGCTCGAAATTCGAAATGTCCCGTGGTCACCAAAGGAGACAAGTACAGACTTAACAAAGACTACACTTGGTGTTCTTCAAGTTGTAGCTCCTCAGTTGACCTCAAGCGACCTCCTAGAAGTTCGACGCATACCCTCAAAAACGGAAAAAAAGACTATATTAGTTTCTGTTACCACCAATGTCGTGAAGCGAAGCATCATTCTAGCCACGAGAGATCTCTACGCGAAAAAACATGGACACCGTTTAAACTCCTCAATTGTAGCTCCACATAGCCCACGCGAGAACATCTACATAGACGAGCATCTAACTGCAAAAGGTAAACGTCTTTATTTTCTTGCCCGCCAACTAAAGAAAAAGGGTCTCTATAGATTCTGTTGGACTGCAAATGGTAAGGTTCTACTCCGTGAAAAAGAGGGTACAAATGCGATTCATATCATGGAAGAAGCACAGTTAACTGATCTCACGAACAAAAAAGAGTTAAATAATGGCTCAGATTGACTATTCTTGGAGACTGTCTATCTTATTGTATCTTATTTTAGTTATATTTATTCATCGTTGAAAACGATAAAAGGCACTCTTGCACTACATTTTGTATACAAAACCATACATACCTTATTTCAATCTTACAAATATGAAAGCTCACTAATGTATCACACTCACATAATCACTCGAACCACACTCATTTCACGCATAAATATTCTTGTTCACATACATTACCATGATCCTGCTTCTGTGGCGACTTGTTACAATCAGCCATACTCTGCCATTTACCCCCTGCTCGTTTCAATCATATACATAAAGCTTCATTTTAAAATTCGCGGCACAAAACGAGTTAATTAATGAAATCGACACCACATCTGTTTCTGTACCATACAACTGTGACCCTGAACATTGTAGTACTCTGATTCCCTCCTCTAGCAAACACCTCAACGTTATCACACAGAATATTCGCAGCCTTTCAGCTAATATATCGCATTTTCAGGCACTCCTTCAGACCATTGGAATTTCTTGTGACGTCATTGTCCTAACAGAATGCTGGCTGCAACACAACCCCATTCTAGTACCGTTAACAAATTATAATTGTTTTGCCTCCACCAGCCCCATAAACCAAAACGATGGGGTTGTGGTGTACGTAAGCGGCTGCTTAACGGCAGTGACAGTAAGTGAACCCAAGTTAGGCGAAGCCAGTTGCCTCCTGATAGAAATTGGTTCTGATATCGCTATACTGGCTATTTACCGCCCCCCCTCCTTTAGTAATTTAGTCCCATTCATAGATACTCTAAACGATGTGCTTTCCCTGCTACCATCCAATAAAACCTTAATTCTAACAGGCGACATTAATATAGATATTACTGACAACAATAGAGATCCTAACTCAGATACCTACTTAAATTTGTTAGCTACTCACGGTCTTCTACCAGCACACAATCTTCCCACCCATGGTGCCACTTGCCTAGATCACATGTTCATTAAATCCAAATATTCCTCAACAACATTGGTAATTAATTCGACTGTCACGGACCACAACTCTGTCCTAGTGTCGTTAGAGAAGCGGATATCGGGAACTACAACAAAAAGACTGACAAAAATTAATTATTTGCAGCTTGGTAGGGATTTGGATCAATGTGATTTTTCATCTGTTTACAATGCTCCGGATGTCGACTCGGCTGCACATATCCTAACCAACCTCTTACAACAGGCGGTCCTCTTTAATTCAATCCCATTAAATATACCCCATCGCCTCAGACCCATAAAACCCTGGATCACCCCAGGTCTCCTACGATGCATAAGAAACAGGGACAAAATGCATAAAAACCTAAAAAATAGTCCTGATAACTTAACTCTCATGACAACCTACAAGCGCTACAGAAACTTCTGCAATAACTTGCTAAAGAGAATAAAAAGATCTTATGAAGAAACTAAACTCAAAGAAGCTGGATCCGACAGTAAAAAGCTCTGGTCGGCCATAAAAGAAATAACCAATTTGAATGCAAGTAAATGCGTCGCCCGTGATCTCTTGCTAACCAAACCCACACCTCTGGAATCTGTTAACCACGTGAATGAGTTTTTTGGTTCGGTCGGGAGGACTTTGGCAGAGAACATGAGCACTTGTCAAGGATTTCACGCTTCTCCTCCTCCGCCGAACCCACATTCATATGTTCTTCTACCCACCGATGAACAGGAGGTGCTTCGTGTAATTATGTCGCTAAAAAAGGACTGTGCGGTGGGATGGGACGGTATATCTACAAAACTAATTAAAGCCTACAGTTACCTAATTGCTCCTCCCTTAACTCATATATGTAACATGTCGTTCTCCACAGGTGTGTTTCCTAAATCTTTTAAAATAGGCCTTATTCACCCGATATACAAATCAGGAGATCATAAAGAGGTTAACAACTACCGCCCTATATCAGTACTACCCGCCCTATCCAAGGTACTCGAAAGATTACTCAACAACCGACTGACTAATTATCTAGAAAGCAAAGACCTGTTAAGTGATAACCAGTACGGTTTCCGGGTGGGAAGATCCACTGCTCAAGCAGTACTTAACTTTACCAACTCGATTGTCCAAGACCTTGACAATAGAAAGAAAAGTTTGGCAATTTTCCTTGATCTAAAAAAGGCCTTCGACACTGTATCACATCCAATTTTACTGACTAAATTAGAATCACTTGGCATACGCGGTGCTCAACTTTCTCTGTTTCAAAGTTACCTCACCGGCAGAACCCAACGAGTTATCATAGATCATAACATAAGTGATGACCTCTGCATCAGCTACGGAGTTCCCCAGGGAAGCATAGTGGGACCTACCCTATTTCTCGTCTACGTTAACGACCTGTGCAATTTGCCTATTCCTGGAGGTCACCTAACTGCTTTTGCAGACGACACGGGTCTGTACTTTTCTGGAGATACATGGGATGAGGTATTCTCTACCGCACAGTTTGGGTTAGATAGGGTCATGAAATGGTTAAACTGTAATATGCTCACCCTCAATACATCAAAAACAAAATATATAACATTTTCAATAATTAACCGTAACCTTCCAATTCCTACCAAAC